CCAAGGGGCATGCGCCTTAGTAGGCCCAAACGGTCAATATCTCACTAGTCTGGAGATGGCTGAAACATTCAGTTCAGCCTTCGCTAAACAGCTAAACAGCAATGTGGATATTACAGTTACGGACCAAAATGGTGGCACCACTATTTCAGAGGAGGAAGACCTAGCGACTACTCCCCAAATAAACCCCGCAATAGTACTAAGGAAGCTACAGCGACTCATACCTGGGAAGTCCCCAGGTTGTGATGACATCAGGCCATCTGTTCTGAAACAGTGCGCCGAGGCTCTCTGTAGACCCCTGTGCGACTTGTTCCAACACTCAATGGATTCGGGGACCCTGCCAAGGGAGTGGAAAAGAGCCATCCTTTCTCCAATCTTCAAGGGTGGGGACAGGCAAAACGCTGCTAGCTATAGACCAGTAGCTCTACTCCCAGTGGTATCAAAAGTACTGGAAAGTATTATTGACGACCACATCAGGGAATATTTCGATAGGACTAATATACTGCATGAAGCCCAACATGGTTTCAGAAAAGGCAGATCCTGCGTCACTAACCTACTGTCAGCTTGGGACGACTGGACATCATGCTGGGACTTGAACGTACCAGTCCATGTGGTCTTCCTAGACTTTGAGAAGGCATTTGACACTGTTCACCATGACCTTCTCCTACATAAAATAAGACAGGCAGGCATAGGTGAGCCACTTCTGTCATGGTTGAAGGACTACCTAGCCGACAGGCAATTTTGCACTAAGGTTAACCGAGTCCGATCATCTTGGCACAGATCGTCATCAGGAGTGTCGCAGGGTTCTATCCTAGGACCACTGATGTTTTTGATTTTCATCAATGATCTACCACGCCGTCTGAGCTGCCCGACTCTCCTGTACGCTGACGACGTAAAAATATGGAGGGCGATAAAGTGTCCGGAGGACTCAGATAGGCTACAGGAAGACCTAAACCTTCTGGAAGACTGGGCGGTGGCCAGTGGCATGACTTTCAACTTGAAAAAGTGCAAAGTAGTGAAGTTGCGCACCTGTAGACTGCAGAATGCAAGTTACACCCTGTGCAATGAAAGCTTGTCCTGCACAACGTCGGAACGCGACTTAGGTCTAGTTCTAACGGAAAAAATGGACACAAGCGTAAATTACACAGGGGATGTAGCGAGGGCATATGCGGTCATACACTTTACGCATAGACAGTTAGGTGCACTCACTCCTGAGCTCTTTCTAATGTTGTACAAAACATACGTCAGGCCACACCTTGAGGTGCATAATATTATTGCACCCCCAATGCTGAGAAGAGATGCCAACCTCTTGGAAAGAGTCCAACGACGGGCAACAAAAGGAGTGGTTGGTCTCCGAAACAAACCATATGATGAAAGGCTGAAGAAATTAGGCCTGTTCACACTTAGTTACCGTCGGCTTAGGGGGGATTTGATTACTGCCTACAAAATAACAAATGACCAGAATCACCCAAACAAAGGTGTTCTGCCATTGAGTAGGTATAGGCTTCCACGTGGAAATCCCAGAAGGATAGCTCACCAGAGGGCAAGGACCCGGGTGCGCTCCCACTTCTTTTCACTGCGGGTTTGTCGTCCCTGGAATTCCTTACCGGCAGATGTAGCTATGGCACCGTCTTTGGACGCCTTTAAGCGAAGGCTGGACAACCATGCAGCGATACAAGGACTGCATCCAAATGGCCTATCTCCTTAAAATCGCATTTACCAATCAGGGTAGATAATTAAACTCGTCATTTTACTTCTTTACATTCTCTCCCGTCTTACTCTCCTGACAACTTATTAATATTATAATTACTATTATTATTATTACTATTACCGATATATATATTATTCTTCAAACTTCATGAGCTGACTGTTGTTACGTTTCCTATTTTCGTTTCTGTCTCTTAGTCTGAATAGCTTCACTAATTATATCTATTATTATTATTATTACTATTATTATTATTATTACTATCTCTTTTCTCTTGTCGACAATACCGAAGGACTAACTGGCGAAAGGATCAACTCCAATCACAGTAGTAACAGTCTTAACATACCTCATACTACAAACCACATATAATTAATCCCAGCACTACTCCCTTTGGAGTCAACCAAAGCTACGACAGTCGAGTGGCGGGACAAGCTACGCAGAAGTTTACCGAAGATCAAGAACCTATACCTCACAATCAAGAGGCGAGCACAAAGAAATCAAATTGGTTTATACTAGCTCGTAAAAACGATATTGGATATTGGAAAAACAAAGCAAAAGCCAATATTTGATCGTCCAAACTACGTGATATATTTCGGGGCCAAAACAAGCCGTCAGACGAACGCCTAGCTGGCTGGAGATCGTGCACGTGACACGACGGGGTACCAAATGGCGGGGATGCTTGACAGGAAGCCTTCAGCTAAACAAGTCCACTTAAACAGTGGTGGTCAGCATCCAATGGTGAGTCATTGCTGTGGTCAATAATTTGGGGGAATTATTTACCGCTACACGACCATCAAACTTATAATTCAACTTATGCAAATGAATGAGACACGCTGTGGAGACCGTTGAGTGACATCACAGGTTAGCCACTTGCTCGGGCGGAACCCGAGTCGTAAAGACGAGTTGAGCACGAATCCAGGAGTGACGGAAAGGTCGTGAGAAGAGGAGATTAGAGAACCATGGGCGATCTTGGAGAAGGCTCAGCATGAAATCGAAATGTGTAGATGAAGCCTTATGTAACACAAATGATTAGCATTAACAAGATCATTGGCTGCTAATTTTTTGCGATGCCTAGTCTTGGATTACATGTTGCGTGGTTCCTGCAAGACCTATTACACCTAAAATATCATCTATATCGTGGTCAAACTAAAAGCAGTTACCAATACAGAGTAAGTCATTCACACTCCCATGGGGATCTCAATTTAAAGTCATACTGTGGTGAAGGCTGACTGCTGGCCAAATTGGTAGACAGTAATCTACGTCCCCAATATTGGCCATGGGAAAAATAAAAACAAAGTCTGACTCAACAACCAATCACAGCAAACTTTGCGTAGGCGGACACAATTAGCATATAGGCAATCTGAACTTCAAGAAACCGCCACAAAGAGATGAAAGATTAACGTTCGGCGAGTAATCACCAATCAGAAGACTGTGTTTGTTTGCTTACAATAACCTATAACAATGTACATGAAAATATATAAATGTGTTGATTTCTTAAATAAGCGATCTGTTGCCTGGCCCTTGCCTTATGTCGTTACAATACTGCTGACGTTTCCTGCACATGACGAGCAAGCCCACTTATGCTGCATTTTCTCTATATGGAGGATAAATTAGAGGAGGGTACCACTGGAAATTGTATATTTCGATTTACTGTGTTGTAATTAGGCCTCCAGGATGTATGAAACTTCACAAATCGACCTCTCTTACTTAATTTCGTCACTTCTCATAGAGGCATTTGGAAAAGAAATCAACTTCAGCGTTATGAGCACACTGTAATTAGCAACCGCCTACAAACACAACTCTTCTGTCCACCACTACAGTGCTGTTAGTCCGAAGTTAATTAATTCAAATTCGCCTGATTCAGCGACTAATGCTACCGACTCAAGCCTTAGGAATACTTCTTTTACTCCATTGTCAAGAAATTATGCCAAATCAGATAGCCAGTAACACTACACAAAACTATAAATTTTTTTCGCGTATGAAACGTACAAGACTAAAGTGTAATTTTCCTCCTCACCAGTTGAGTGAATCTGACAGATTTGCTTTGCCCTAATTAAGGCTGTGGGACATAGCTGTTGAAGACTTAAATGAAAAAAACTAGTGATACCTGGCCATAAATGATACTATCCAAAATTTTCTGTAGTGCGAAGAGGCTAATATTAATGAGGTTAATCGCAGAGTTCTAGGTTGGGAAGGGGAAATGAATTTATTACTCTGTAAAAGGACATCGACTGGAATAGCTAGGACGAGTCACTGACTTCCTGAACTAGCAGATATTAGCTGACATCGGTTGGAAAATGCTGAAAGTGGTCAGATGATAAAATGGCACCATTCCATGTCTTCTCTCTCAAACAAGTAGGAAGCTATAGACTGTCTGGCCGATGTTAATAAACTTTGACGTGGATTACAGTCGTTAGAAGTAACACAAATATATTTACTCTTCGTTGTTATTTTAGATTCTGAACATCCCACCTAATTATTCTTTCCCATTTACACTATCTACAGTGACCTCACAACACTTCTTTCCTATACTATTATGCAGCAACCTCAGATGCTTTACATTGGTACAAGTTAGTAATGGGTTTGAGAATGATAACAGTCATTAGCACTGATATGCATCCTATGGTACACAATGCAAGACAATATTGCTAATTTCCCCAGCTGGAACTTTAATGTCTAAGTAGATAGGGAATAACTCTTGAAGACGGTGCACCGTAACTATGCTGCATGAAGTCGTTCGGATATAAAACCAACATATGACCTCACCATTCAGTTATAGCACCTATTTCGCGTTGTAATTACTGGTGTCATTAGGATAACCTGTCTATGTAACGTTCAACCACTGATACTGACTAATCTTGCTGTTAGTATCAAGCAAAAGTCTCCACCTGGCGCCAGGTTCAGGGTGATCGAGGATGCTTTGACCCCGAATGAAGGCTCACCATTGCACCTCGGTGGGTTGAAACTCGCAACGGACTTTAATTGGGCACGCTTGGGCGTGTAGTTTTTGTCAGTGGGGAAGCCTCACAGTCCTCCCTTTATGTGCGCGTCGGCGGCACAGCGGTTAGGGCGCTTTCCGACCATGCACATAGTCCGGGTTTGATCCCCGACCGACGCACACCTGATATTAATCGTCGGCCAACTAAATTTGGGCTACTCATATCATATGCTGAAAATCCCATACTTGTACCACAATACTGTGAGGAATTAAAGCTACGATAAAATTAAACTAAATATTAGGTTTGTTTAAGGTATAAGTCAAGAGGTGCAACACGACAAGTATAATGAGGTTAAATCAAAGAGCAAAATAATTGGGAGTTATGTGTATATCCTTTGTAAAAGCTGAGAAGTATCGTGTCATTTTAAAGATCGTTACGGTTATATTCTCTACTGACTCCTAAAAACAGATATTTTAGCTGTATAGAATTCGTACTTCGTTAGAATATCTACATTAGGAGTGAGACTTATGCGTAGAGAAGACGGGCATACATATGACAAAATAGTATAAGTTTTGAAATAAAACCATGCGTCACATGTGTTTATAAGCGACTACTACCTAGTAATTCAAGATCTCTTGAAAATATCGACGAATATTTATTAAATAAGGTGAAGACCAAGAAAAATTGTAAATTTGAATACGCCAGTTCCGACAGTTAGTCATTGTTTGAGTTCACAAAAGATCCTACAGTTAAAACACTCATAAATATTAAGATCACACATAGTTTGTATTTGTACAACAAATAAATTATTCACATGATAATTAAAGAAATATTTTAGGAGAGGAGAAACAAAATAGAGGAAAGTTAAACTACGCCAAACATATAATATGAATGATGTAAGATGACTTCATTTTCTTCGTCCATTCATCTCTAATCTTCTTTTCGTGAATTTACTTCAGAGTCAGCCAACGACGGAACGTCGTCTTTACCCACCGTATTCTTATTGTTTTTAACATGTTTGCCTGTAAGTTGCGCATCGCCTTCTTGAGTATCGTCATTAGACTGGAGTTTTACTAACGATCTACTATTGGCTAGTTTATCCTCTAAATTTTTAAGAACATTTTGAATAGCCAATATCACTTCACGGCGCTTATTGCGTATCGCTGAGTCACCAGCAGAATCAATATTATCCAATCGTAATGTGAGTTTTTCAAGTTTATCCTCGAGTAACAGATATTTTTTGTCCTTAAACGAAGCTAACAAGAAGAAATAAAGCACAAGAGAGGGAATCAGAATAAGTAAGTAGCATCAATAGTGAAATTTACAAAAGTAAACGGCAACTCAGTATAAATGTGTATATTTATGGATGATTGAGTCAACAAAATGAATCTTATAAATCTTGATCATTTTATTCTATACCTCCTTAATGTTATCATTTATATGGTTCATTGACTTAGAAATTGATTTCTATTCAGTGGGTCCTCTAAGTTCAAACCGTGAAGAGCATCTCCATCAAAGTACACAACTAGGTGATAATTTTGTAACACAATTTAAGCAAATACGTATTTTTGATGATTCCTCATCAGACTTTACAATTAAGTAATAAATGTACTGATCATAGACGATATTTGAAACCAATGTCGTTAGCATAATTAAAGTTCAGGCATACGAGCATAATGATAATAATAATAATAAATTCATGCAACTTTTTATGTAAAATCTAGTTATAAACGTGCATACTTGTCGGGGAAAAAAGGAAATAACTGCTGTCTCATAGCGATTACATAATTGTGTTTGGTTTCGTGATGAATTGTGAAACTAATATTAAAATATGCAATAACAGCACGGTGTGATATTGGTAATAAAGATGAAAATAACAGTACAAATAAATGTAGTATTTACAGTTATCCAGTGTCGTAAGGAAATATGAACTGTTTTACGTCGGGGGTGAAGGCAAGGGGAGAAAGAGGGACTGAAAAAACTGAAATATTTTAAGGCAACCGCCTCGGCGATACTAAGTGATTGACGGTGCACAAGCCTAGAGAAGCGAGGTGGCACGTGATATCAAACTATAAAGGCTGAATTCTTATCAATCTTGTGCTGCGTAACCACTAGGTACGCTAATAGGGAACTGATGATTGACTCTAAGATTTCAAACATAATGGTAAGATATCGCATGTTTTAGCTATTTTCCCTTAGAGTTTTTTTCATTCCTTTATGTTCCCGGTGGAACGTAGGGCCTTAAGCTAGAGGCTTAAAGTTTTGGTACCAGTGGTGTTTATTTTTACGGGATGGGGTTGCTAGCCTTATGCCCAACTTTCCTTCTTTACCAGTCTTATTATGCGCTCAACGAGGTAAAGGAGTGCGTCGGCCGGGGACCGAATCCTGGATCACATGCGTGGTCGACGAGTATCCTACCGCTGTGGCACCAACGCACTTTTAAAGAGTTTCAATGCCAGTAATTCAGTAGTTGCATCTCCTTTGAATGTGCGTCGGTGGCACAGAGGTTAGGACGCTCGCCGACGATGCACATGGTCTGGAGTTCGATTCCCGGCCGACGCGCTACTTTACCTCGCTAAGCCAGTAACAAAACTGGTAAAGATGAGAGGTTGGGCATGAGGCTAGCAACCTTATCCCGTAAAAATAAACACTGCTACTAAAACTTCAAGCCTCTAACTTGAAGCCCAATGTTCCATTGGGAAAGTGAAAGAATAAAAAAAATCTTCTTTGAATGATAAAATCATATAGATATTTTTCTTCTGCACAGTTTGTTTGCATGCACTTCTCTCTGTCTGTTCTCATCATAGAGACTAACAAATTTTCCTAGATATTCGTTCTCATATAGTAAGTTTTCCATTTTCTAGAGTGTCTGTTGTACAGACTTTTCTAGCACGAAATATTAGAAAACTGATGAGATTTCATTCGTATGCAAGATGAACAAACGAACTGAAATGAGTATATTGGCCAACCCATGAATTCTGCTGGAAAATGCTTGCCTTCGCTCCGCACAGATTAGATATCTAGAAAGGATTAATCATACAGAACTCTGGAAATGAACCAATCGTCCGACAAATATGTCAAAGAAAATGGGGATGGACTGGGAACGCGCTGAGGTGGCCGAGCGCCAAACCTTCAAGTGAAACCCAAATGGAAAACGACGAGTTTAACGTGAGTCCGAGGGTGACATAAAGGAGATTGTGTGTGAAGATGGTAGAATATGGGCGTTCGCACAACCAGCTAAAGATGACTTCAAAAAACAGAATTAAATGAAGATACGCTTTTGAAGTCTTATGTTACACTCAAAACATATATACATTATTTAACCTACTAAAGGTATATACTAAGTGAGTGTCAAGGTTGAGATCTACCCTGAAATCTATCGGCCTACTGCAAAGTTAACAACAGCTACGGTTGTGCGGTTACAGTTTTGAAACGAGCTCTGAATACAGTGGTTTGTACGGGTCAAGTGGTAACAACATCTGCCATCACAATATGTTTAGTGTGGCGTTTTGCGAAGTGCATGCATTTGAAGGCGATTTGATGAGTACCGTTAAATTTTCAGGTCTTAACACTCATTAATATCAGTCAGAAAACTGGGGAGAACTGGGCGCATGTTTCGTCCTGGTTCGGGGCTTCTCAGAAGTGCGCACCCATGACACTAAGGGGGATCGTACCTTGAACCTTCGGGATATGAGGCGAGTTCGCTGTCTATTCAGCGACTGGGAGGGAATCTAATGGCTGGTGAATTCTAATCTCTGCCACTTAGCAATATATATAGCACGACTGACAGCCAATGTCCTTGGTAAGTTTCTGTCCTTATAGCCAACTTGGTGGACGCCCTGCAGACCACTTACCATTTTTACTCGGTAATAGAATTAAAAGCATTAGAAAAACTTACGAAAAAATTCGTTTATTTCAGCTTTTACTTCTTCCAGTTCACTTTGTGCTTGTTCTATTAAAGACATTGGATCTAATGGTGTTGATTGATGATTGGTTGTTTCACTGTTGTCTGAATTTTCATTATTATCATCTGCTATTTTAACAGGTATTGATGATGGAACTTCATCATTATGATGATTAGCTTTATCAGAAGAAGGATTGAACGATTGTGCCTGTTGCTCATACCTCTGATCTTGATGCTTATGATGACGATCGTGATGGTTGTCATTCCCACCGAACGACGATGAAGTGACAGGATGTACCTTGAGATGAATTATTTAATTATTTTATTTTTATTTCATGATATATATATATAAGATTGTAAAGCTTTAGAATGATACCAACTGCGAAGACTAACTCTCTGCTGAACGCCTTTTCTTTTATTTGATATAATGGGGATTCCTAATCTATAACAAGAAGACGTAATATCTACCAGTGGATGTAATCCGATTGTTATTGTTAGACTATCACCTAATACTCCATGATCTATCTAACCTAAATACCAGGCAAACAACCGATCAAATTTCAGCATGTTTAGTAAACTCCCACTGCTCTGTGTATGTTGCTATGGGATTACTACGCATGACACTATTAGCATATTATATATGTAATCATCTCACGCTTACTTGGTTAGAATACGCTTTTCAGTATCATTGAATGGATCATTTCACAATAATTAACTGGTGCAGAGAAAATCCACTAAGTACCTTGTAGAACGTTAATTATTGTTGTTAACACATATATCAGTGTAAATATCTAGGGACGACAAAACACGTTCTAGATTATACTCATCACTACACATCACATAGCCAGTAGAGGTGAGTGACAGTATGCCTAAAACAAAATCAATAAATTCTAGTGTTTATTAGCAGTAGAAAAACTATTTATGGATTTCATTGAGGCACAAGATAATAAAAAAAACCCAAGACAATAAAAAACAATCAAACAATGACTAGTAATAACAGAAAAAAATGGCTGAAAGCAATTCTTAGAAGCAATCGAAAAAACACACACGAACAAAAACCAAGGACAAAACAAAATGAGTAAATACTTCAGGATTCATGGATAATTCCCAGTCAAGGCATTAATGAAAACAAGACACGTAGATCAGCGAAGGGTCTCTTCTCAGTGGTGAATTCATTTTCTTAGCTGTACAATCGCAAATATATATATATATATATATGTTTTATTTTGTATGTATGTGTACATTAAGTTTGTCAAACAATTGGTTAAGGTTATTTTAACTAAACAGGTGAAGATTTGTAATACAAGTCAAGAAAATTAAGTGTTATTGAAACTAGGGTAGTAACAAAGGTGATGAGTTGTCACAATCAGTTGTTAAAAGAAGTTATGTAATAATAATATGAATAGTTTGATGAGTGAGTTTTACTCAGGATGCACGTAGAAACAAAGTAGATAATACGAAATTATGTAAGAGAATACAAGAATTATAAGCAATCAAAGAACAGGCAAACAAACAAAATTAAGTCATCAAAATAGAAATGAAAAACTCAAAACAAATCAAAACATTGGTACCATGACAGTAGAAGTGGTTGAGTAATCTTCTTTTGCATGCACAGCTCCAGTTTTTCTATGTGAATGGCCAGAGCTTCAGCGATACAAAGGAGACGAAACCGTATTGCATTTGATAGGTTATTCTTGATTCTGTAGATTACTTTGAAGCAGGAGGCGTTTGTTGAAATGGAATGATCAGTGCCTATTGCCTTCTTACAACCATGCTGGATAGTGTTCTTTTTTTTTTTGATTTACAGCTTGATTCCACACTGTATTTTTGGTATAAGTATGGAATTTTCAGCATGGATATCGGTAGCCCAAATTTTGCAGGCCGACCACAGGATGCGCGTCGAACGACCGATGTACCTGGCTCCACAGCAGCAGGTGAACTGATATATGCACATAGAAGTAGCCAGATGCGGGATCTTGTCCTTGAGGCTTCTGCAGATCAGTGGGCGACTGGAGAACACTATTCTTAGCGTTGCAGCAAAGAATGTTCTTCTCAGAGATGATGTGATCCTTCCCTTGAGAATATCGCTTGCTAAATCTCCCTTGAAATCCAAGTTCGTGTAGAGTTTCTTTTTAAGCGCAATTAAAGTTTCATTTCTCCGAATTATTGGTTTCATATTTTTGTCGATGAATCTTATTGGGTATCCATTTTGGATGAAGATTTCTCTTAGAATATCTAATTCCGTTTCCAGAAAGTCGGGACTACAGATGCGTCGGATGCAAGTGGCAAGTGATTTGATTAAATTTCGCTTTTGTTGAATGGGTACCCAGCTATAGAAACTTATTAGCTGACCATTCCAAGTAGCTTTTCTATGGATTGATCTTCTCAGACTCCCATCAGCTCTTCTTGTTAGTTCCACATCAAGAAACGGAATTTTTGACTCGTTTTCCATTTCAAGAGTGAATTTTCTTGCTGGATGGCAACAGTTAAATGGCTTCAGCTGTCTGTCTGTCTGTTTTCGACATAGAACTTTGCACGAATGTGCGGAAGTTCAAGTCGCCACATTCCGTGTAGCACGCGAAGCAAGAGAAGAAAGTACAAGAAAAGCATAATAGAAACAGTGAGCAGAGGTGTGAGACAAAGGAGTAATAAAGAAATACAAAACAGTTTCATTGAAGATCATAAGTCACAGGGAGTGGATGCATCTGCGCCACTGAGAACGGTTTAGAGCCATGTCACCAATTGTTTCCAACCATAGATTTTTACCGTCCCGAGGACCCCAGCCTGGAAGTCTACACCTTCCTACGTGGCTTAGACCAACTGTTGTGGATTTCATTGACTGGTGAGGCCAAGTTTTTGTTTGACCGCCGCTAGCTTTTTTCCAGCCTGACCCTATATCCGCTAACATAGCTCGTCGAGGGAGGCGATGGCTTGGCACACGTAACACATGTCCTAACCATCTCAGTCGATGTAGCTTCACGACTTCGTCGATTGATTTCCCCTGTTTACCTAGAACTCTGCGCCTAACCTCCATGTTGCTCACCTTATTATGCCACTTTACACAGGAAATAGAACGCAGGCACCTATGATCAAAGACAGCTAGTCTTTTCATGTCTTCCACTCTCAGTGGCCAGGTCTCACAGCTCGCCATAAACGAGGACGGAGCGGACTGATGAGCAGTACACACGCCCTTTGGTCGATAGTCGAACATCTCGTCTACGCCAGAGTCGGCGTAAACTAACAAATGCGAAACGAGCCCCTTGTATTCGTGCTGAGATTTCGTCAGAGATCAACCCATTGGCGTTGGCTGATGGTACTTCCCAAATAAGTGAAGCGGTCAACGTGCTCTACCACTTCACTTCCTATTTTTAAACTAGGCGTCGATGTAGTCCAGTCCTGTAACATCGTCTTGCATTTGGCGGGAGCGAATCGCATGCCAAACATTCGTAGATTGCAGCTCAAGGTGTTTAGAAGACTCTGCATTTCGTCAGCGTCTTCGCCTAGAAGGACTATATCGTCTGCATATTCCAAGTCAACGAGATTATTCCCTGGTAGCAAGTCAATCCCTGAATCGCTGAAGTCACCTAGGGTTAAGTCCATTAACACATCTATGATAAAGTTGAATAGAAAAGGAGATAATGGGCATCCTTGACGGACACCACTGGTCGTCATCACTTCAGATGACAGCTTGCCGTAAGCCCTCACCTGGCTGTATGAGTACGAGTAGAGTGCCTTAATCAGTGCAATATATTTTCTTGGAATTCCTTTTACAGCCAAGCATCTCCAGAGAACTTCCCGATCGACAGAGTCGAATGCTGCCTTTAGGTCAAGAAATATAATGACTGTTGGACGCCGGTAGGAATGCCTATGTTCTAGAATCTGTCGGAGGGTGAAGATATGATCAATACACCCTCTTCCTGGTCTAAAGCCTGCCTGGCTCTCTCGTGTTTGTGCTTCCCGAGCACCACTCAGTCTACGCATGATTATTGAGCCTAAGACTTTAGATACTATATTAGTCAAGCTAATCCCTCTGTGATTATCACGGGAAGACTTGTCTCCCTTCTTGTATATGGGGATAATCAGTGACTTACACCAACCCGATGGGACTTCTTCTGATTCCCAGACGCTGCCTAGTACCTCAGTTAATCCGGACAGTAAGCTGTCTCCACCGTACTTAAATACCTCTGGAGTCATTACTTACTTTACTTTACTTCGGTTATCTCCTACGGGAGGATGAGCCGGCTTCATGAACGTCTCGAATCATCGCTGCCCAGGCGCGGCAATTTGTAAGAGAGTTCATGAAGTTTCATGGGAATTTGGTACGAGTGATGTCCCCAGTATCGCTCGGCCTTTTGTTTGAGAGTGCAGCTCTAGCCTTTACACAACCAAGTGTGAACTACAAGGCAGTAGGAGTGAAGTAAGGAGTCCACTATCCATTGGCAGCCGATGACCGGAGTTCGGTTCATACGCCTTTTTGAATGGGGCCAGACATCCAGGACATCCAACAAGCCATTTGTCCATACGTCTGCCGGTGAGCTCCAGTGAGCTTCATACGCCAGTCGTTGGAGGTTTGGAATCAGGGTTTAGCCATCTCCCCTAGACTGTCATCCAATGGACAGTCAACCCGGTGGAGAGCGCCAGGCATCCGCTTTCGCCCTCTCACTTTGGTGAGAAACACCTCCGCCACGTGAAGGCAGTGAGTAGGACTTCCTCAGGAGAGGCTATGTAAGACGCCCGGTCATATGGGAGCATTTCAAGAGGTGTGCGGAGGGGTGGCCAACCCGCAGCGCAAGGCACCCACCCCCGACCATCCTGAGGCTTTGGAGGCACTCTGGAGTCATTCCATCAGGTCCCGCTGCTTTGCCTAGTTTCAGATTGGTGACAGCTTTAGTAACCTCAGTTAGTGACGGAGGATTTGTGTTTATATCCCATTCAGGGAGGTGTTGGATGCTCGGAAGGTTGAGCGTGGCTGTGGGCAAATTAAACTGCTTCTCATAATGCTCTTTCCAACGATCCAGTCGTCTATCCTGGGAGCTAATTATAGTGCCATTTTTTTCCGAGATTGTCTCACTGATGATTTGTCTTCTCCCACCCGTTTCCCTGATGAGTCTAAAGAGTTGCCTGGTGTTGCCTATCCTCGAAGCTTTCTCCATCTCTTTGGCTTTTGTTGCCCACCACTGTTCACGGTCCTTGCGGAGACTTTTCGTAAGTTTCCTCTTGTGCAGCTTTCGCTCCTCATTGAATTCGGAGCTCGCCGGAATAAGTCTTCTAGCATCTATCAGTTCGGATGAGGTGGTGGAGATCCAGTGGTTTTTACTCACCTTTGGGTTTACCTTATTCACAACTTTTACAGCTGTATCTATGGCTGCCTGGATATTTTTCCAAGCTTCTTCAGGGTGAGCACAGCTGTCGAACACAGATATGTGTTTAGCTAGTTCTTCCTCAAATACGGATTTAGTTTCCTGATCGAGCTGGGAAACTAAATGGCTTCAGCAGTAAATTGGGGTCATTGTTGCTGTCATAAATAATGAAAATGTCGCCCACGTATCTTTTATACAGTCGTAAATTATCAATGCTCGGCTTTAGTGAACCTCTCTCGAGGCTTGCCACGAAGCAATCTGATAGCAGTGGACACAACGGAGATCCCATTGCAATACCATCCTTTTGTCTGTAGAGATGGTGTCTTTGAACGTGAACTGGACGTTCAGAGTGCATCTCAATAATAATTCTTTCAATACCGACAACATACTTGAAAGAATTATTATTATTATCACCTGTTTAGTTAAAATAACCTTAACCAATTGTAATTTTGTTTGACAAACTTAATGTACACATACATACAAAACAACACATATATATTTGCGATTGTACAGCTAAGAAAATGAATTCGTCGAAAAGAGACTCTTCGCTGAACTACGTGTTTTGTTTTTACTTCAGGATTCCATTAATTCTATGACTGTCTCAGCCTCGACACAGAACTTTGCACGGAAATGTGGCATTTCCATTTGCTATACTACGCGCAGTACTTAGAGGTGGAGAAAAGATAGAACGAAGAAATTCCGAAATAATTATAATAAGCACAAATATGGGGAAGAAAGAACAGTAACATTAAAAAAAGATAAGAAGACTTAGTGTATAGGGAAATTACACAAAGTGATTTGCAATCAGTCGCAAATGAGCGTAACAGACATAGAGTGTTTATTTAATTTCGATCTGGTTAGCAAGCAATACTGGTTAGTGTGAGTGGAACATACAACTACTCGTTTTAAACTATTAGTGGTACATAGTGTCCATGCAATTGTGAATGCATCTGTGACACGGAGAACGGTTTTGAGTTTACAGTTTACAACTTGCTGGCACTTCCACCAACTTCAAAGAAGAGATGTCAAAGGAAGATAGAAATTCTGGTTAACGGTGTTACTTACAAGACATAACTTCGATTGAGTCAAAGATATATTTACTACTACGGGGTGCACACATTCATGAAGGTGTGGGGACATAAAATCAACACAATTAGGGTGACAGGATGAACACTTCTTTATTTAGCCAAATGGGTAGGAATTCAATGACTTGTTGTTTTTTAATTCTCTCAATTCTTAGTATGGAGCAGCTGCCATCTAGTGACATCTGTGTCCTAGCACACTTTTTGATGAATCCTATAGGCCATAGACAACTGAATCCATTTATTCTTTCGCATCAGTCTATGACACACAAAACACTGCACTGCATACATCCTTCACATGAAGTGTGTGATTGCGTTAACGAATAAATAATTAACCAGTTGAAAGATATGAAGGCCAATCTCCATATAAGCTAAAGTATTTCGAGCTATACAGTTCATCATTTTCAAAGAAAGCAAAGAGCGTCAGCTGATACTAGTTACTAATAATTTATCTACCTTAGCTTGGTAACTAGTTACAGCATAGATTTCAAATAATCGAATAATTTGTGATCAGCAGAGTTCACCAAATGCTATAGGAGTGAAGAAATTTGTTGATAACACTGAGTTCTCGGGTGCTAGGTGGAGATTTATCGCATTCCCGGTGAGTGACTAAACGGTAACGTCTAAGCGTCGTAACAACTAGAACAGTCCAGGTACAATCACACCAAAGGTGATCAAGAGAATTAAACTGTACTCGAAACATTGTTATCCAGTTATAAATATTGCATCAAACTATGTTACGTAACAAAAAACTTATTTAATATGAGACCTTTACAACCTGGTATTGAAACTTAAGACACGCTAATTAAAGTGTACAGTGGTCTAAAAGAAAACGAAAATATGCCAATAAAATCACTAAAGATCATTAAAACAAGAGAAGAAACGATAACCAAATAACTGAGAAATCAATATGGAAGTTTACAAAACCATCGAGGAATTCAAGTTGTAAATAAAAAATTTGACATTAAATGATGAAGTATAAAACAGTAAGGTGTCTCCCTAATGAAGATTGGTTTTGAATCATATCATTTAGGTGATTGTAACCATACCTCCCAAACATACAGTGAATGTCAGCCACAAGAATTACATTTCCCAACACGCCTTATACAACAGCGCAATTAACAGAAAGGTGTCATTTTCTAGTCCGAACATCTCTAATTTCGTTTTACAAACCTAATCACACTTCATTTTGACGTTAATTTTGAATTTCCCGCTGATTGATTATGTTGGAGACAAATGTCCGGTCTCTGTGTTGACTTTTCGGCTTCTTGAACAGATGCTTAAACAAAGTCTAAGGACTACGCAAATGTTATTTTAAATGGTGGTACCTGATAGTGGAATCCAGAGTGTGAATTTCGTCTTGTTTGCGAATAGTGGTCATCTGGATGTATCTGTGTTACCAGTGAGTGACGGTGTTTGAGACAGTAGGTCTCACTGGGGACATCAATCAATAACATCACTGACTCACAAGGAATGCAGGTAAATTCAGATGACGAGTAGTCCTAAATGTGGACGAAATGCTAATTTTGGATTCCACGACCAGTCACCACTAATCTAAATAACAAATCACACTTTAATGAAAATCGTCCTTTCAGGAGAATACAGATTAACCAAGTGTAATACAACATCACCCACGTATGTATTTGAAGTAATGATTTACAGCTTCGTTGAATAATTCACATTCCATTTTCACTCAATATTCCAAGATAAAACTTCACACTACTCTGTCATATAACAGTTTCCACTATCAAAACCCTACTAAAAAGATGCTAACGGTGAAATTCATAACACTTCGTGGGACTGACCAACTAAGTGAGTTTCAACATAGAACTCTGCACAAAAGTTGAGCAGTTCAACTCGCCATACTCCTTGTAGCCCACAAAGGTAGGGAAAAGGAAAGAAAAAGACATTCAAAAGAACTGTGAGAAGCAGGAATCTACCCGAAAAACATGACTACTTATCGGATATGCGAATGCACACGGAGTCAATGCATCTACACCACTAAAAACGATTTTACGCCGTATTACCAGCAGTCTCCAGTCATTGAATCTTGGCAACTCAAGAACCAAAAGACAACCAGGTATCTCTTTCTACATTGCTCAAACTAACTTTCAGGGATTTTATGCATTGATGATGCAAGGGCAAAAAATGAGATGGCTAGATGGTGTAAGAAAGAGATTTAAGATGGCGATTTCAGTTCAAGGCTCATTCATATCCCTGTATACCTATATAATATAATTTTTCCTTCACGTCCCCAGTGGAACATAGGGCTTCAAGTTAGTGGCTTGAAGTTTCTGTAGCAGTGTTTATTTTTTACAGGATGGGGTTGCTGCCCTCATGCCCAACCTTTCCTCTCTACCAGCATTATTTCTGGCTTGGCGACGTAAAGGAGTGCGTCGGCCGGGGATCGAACCCAGGACCATGTGCATGGTTGGCGAGCGTCCTAACCGCTGTGCCACCGATGCACCTTGTATACCTAGGACATGAAAAATAGAAATCAATCCAACTCACCTTAATAGGTATTGGTTCAGTAGCATTTTCATAGTATGATTGTTTTTTACGAGGAATATCCTCTTCACTACAATTGCTCGACGAATGATTTACCACTTGACCATTGTCATTCGGGTTATTTATTTTATTACGCAGATTTAGATGTTCAGATGAATAATTTGGAACAGATCGTAAATTTGGTGAGCTATTTAACTATAAATGGAAAGGAAAGGAAAGAAATGCAGAAGGACTGTTTACGGGGATATAGAGAGAAAACTGTACTAATAACGACTTATCATCAATAGGGTTAGACAGTGTTCTAATTAAAAAAAAACACACAGCTTTGATCAAATACAATGACGAATGAGCTAAAATTCCAAATACGAACAACTCAAAAGAACCATAGAGACAAACAAACATTACTTGCCGTAGTCCGGCTATACCAAGAGCTGTACAGTTCTATGTTGGTGTTGCCAATAATGTCAATTATTTATATCAGTTGGTAACGAAACATATGAATTTACATACTAAGCATAGTGATAAACTACGTAATCTGAAGACAGTATGTGATCAGTATTGCTCACAAATGAATGTCATAAAAATTTACTAGAGCTTGGAAACAGGAAGATGGTTACAGAGAGAGGGAGTAAGAGATTCAGAATATTTATAAAGTATTGATTTAATGTTAGGAGTTTCAAAAGAAGGAATAAGGAGAAAACAAAAACCAAATGTAACAAAAATATTCATACGGATATCTATAAAACACAAAATAATTGAGCAAAGAATATCCTTTTCGGTAACTTTTCTAGCTCTAAAATTATATATATATAGGATATTCTTGAATAGCAGTCAATAACAATATTAATGTTTTTTAAATAATATCGATTTGTTAAGTACGATCAATGAAATTACAGTTCATTAAAGATGCCTAATTTATATTAATAATAAAAATATAGTAGCAAATAGAATATCAACTAAAATTAAGGAGATTTCTCGTCGGATTTCCGAACGTCACCCTACGTGGTAAGGTAAGAGTCAAACAAAATTTATTCGTAGCGCTATTCTGTCTCATCTTGTGGATACAGAACACAAGATTGATGTCAACAGGCTTTCGAAGTCATTTACCGCATACCAACAAATCTTAATTTCACCTTAAGAGTTCAACTACTAAATATTGCTGAAGCCTTTGGGATCCACATTAAGAAACCTAATTTATGCGTCCAAAAGAAGCTAGTTCAGACATTGTCCATACTTCGGCCAACTAGGTTCGAATGATCCTCAATATTTTGTAGGAATTTCCTTAATTTTAGTTGGTATTCTATTTTCTATTATATTATAATTTAGACATATTTAATTAACTGTAATTCCATTGCATTTTAGATAAGATTTTATTTTTGATAAATCAGATAGTAATATTAACTGATGACATTTCGAGCAATAGCTCATAATCATATCAAGCTACTCACACAACTTTTTCCTTCACGTGGAATTGATCAGATATTTGAATAAAAATCAATATGTGATTATATATATATATATATATATCACATTGAAAGACTTTTGTATTGACGGAAGCAGTTCATCTAATCCCTTCCAGTGCTTTTGTTACCTAATTCATACGAAAAGTCGACCTTTAACAACACTATATAGAACTATACAGCTTTTGAAAGGAGTTACCGAAAGAACATTCTCTGCTAACCTGTCACATGGGTGTTTTTTTTTATCTTAAAGCTACAATGATAAATGGTGTTAGGTCAATTTTGTTCTCCTTTCAAATAAGGTTTTTAAGCCTTTCATATTTTTGTAAAGATTGCTGATAACAGTCACCTATCTCAGAATATAAGTATAAACTTTTATTGAGTCAAGTTAACTGACGTCTAAAACCAACAACAAAAAACAACCACTTAGGATATAGATCTTCGTCAATCATTCAGTTGGCTAGTCTTCTTGAAAGACTGACTAGTGACCTGTTTGAATGAGGTGATCTAATATAAAACTGTTAATGATTTTAACTGCAGCATTATTTAGCCACACTGGTTGATGTTCCCGAGAACGACAACTTAAGTTCTTCAGAGCAAAGGCTTCACAGAAACAGTTGAATGGATATATACAATAAGAGGTGGCTGTTAGTCTAGGTGCTTTGTTTTCTAGCTTCGGAACCACAACTTGCAGTCTGGAAAATCCGAATCGCAGATCACCAGCGGTATTGCTATTCTAGCCTATTGTGAAACCTATTTATTATTATATTATTATTAGAGGGACAAAGGCCTTCAGCCGAGCGTCTCCATTGCGTTCGGTTGTTGTGAAACCTGTAAATTCATGAATTCCCTATTATTTTTCTTAATTTATCTGATATTCAGTTTCGTATCACATTTTTATGCATATTATCACTAACAAATGTTTCTGAACTGTCATCTGTTAGCATAAATGACTAACTGCTTTCAACGTAGAATTTTGCACAGATATGCAGCAGTTCCAGTTGCCACTCTACCTCCATGTAGCACATGTAGCAAGAGAAGAGAGTAAAGAAAGATGATAAACAGACATATGAGGCAAAAAGAATAGTAATATGGAAAAACAATATAATTTTATTGGATATTATAAATCACAAGGAGTGAACACATCTGCACCAGACATTGAGAACGATTTTAAGCCACATCACCAATTGTCTCCAGTCACTGGTTTTACCATCCCAAGGACCCCAACCAAGAAGTCTATATCTTCTTGCATGGCTTAGACTAACTGTTGTGGATTTCATTGATTGGTGAAGCCATGTTTTAGTTTGATCACCACTGACTCTTTTCCAACCTGATCCTATGTCAGTCAGCTAACATTGCCCGTCGAGGAATGCGATGGTTAGCAGTGCATGCGTAACACACATCCTAACCATCTCAATCAATATAGTTTCACAAACCCATCGATTGATTTTCCCTCCTTACCCAGCACTCGACCGATGCCTAACCTCAATATTGATCACCCTATTATACCACTTAACACGGGAGATAGAACCTATGATCAAAGACAGCTAGGCTTTTCGTATTTTCCACTTTCAATGACCATGTTCCACAGCCATAAAAGAGGATAACGCAAACTGCTGACCAGTAAACACGCTCTTTGGTCGACAGCTAGATATCACGTCTACGTCAGAGATGGTGTAAGTTGGTGTATGATAGAGAAGATTTGTAGCTCAGGTGGATAATTTTGATGTGGTTTTGTTCTCTGAGCTGGATAGTTAGTTTGCGAAGCTTTCATCACCTTACTGGGTGACATCTTCAGCGCATACTTCAAATTGAAGTGAGCTTTTAGGTTTCTCCACGAGTTTATTAATCATTCCTCCTGGTGACCTTGAACGTGATTGGTTGTTTATGTATGTTTTCACACCTTCTAGGTTACTTGTGTTGGAACTGATTGTTTCTGTGACTTGAACTTTGGCCAATCGTGTGTGAAGTTTCTTTCTTATTGGTTGATAAATTTTGTCTATCTCGATGTGTCTATTGATTGATGATTCACTGGAATGCCAAGCTTCTAAAAATTCTCTAGCATTCTTGTTATTTCCTTTGTCTAATATTTGAACGTTGTCCCAGTCGAATTGATGTCCGTGGTTGTCTGTGTGTAGTGAAATGAGGGAGTGTATATCATGTCTTTTGACGGCTAGCTTATGTTCGTGGATACGAAGACGAAGGGGACGTCCACTTTGGCCAATGTAGTGTTTTTCACAGTTGTTACAGTTTATTTTGTAGATGATGTTGGTTTTGTCTTCTTTTGCTGTTGAGTCTTTTGGTTGACATAGAATTGAGTGCAGCGACTTTGTTGGTTTGTGTACGACGTCAATTCCTAAAGGTTTGAAGAGTCTTTTAGTGATTTCTGAGATATCCTTTATATATGGTAAGGCGATTTTCTTTGTGTTTTCCTTGGTGGCTTTTGTTTTGGTAGGTTGGCTTGGGGGTATATGTCTCTTGATGAAATTCCGGGGATATCCATTCTTTTGGAAGACGTCCATGAGATACTTTTCTTCAATTTTTCTTAAGGTGGGAGTGCTGCAGTGAGTCCTTGCTCTCTTGAATAGTGTTTGTATGCAGTTCCTTTTGTGTGCTATTGGGTTGTTGCTGTTGTAATTCAGTATTTGGTCTGTGTGAGTTGATTTCCTATAAACTTGAGTTTCTAATTCTCCTGTAGTTGTTCGCCTGACTAAGACGTCCAAAAATGGTATTTTGTTCTCGGATTCCTCTTCTCTTGTGAATTTGATGTCGTTGAAGACGTTGTTTATTAAGTTGTGAGTTTTGTCTAATTCGTTTCTTTTGATTATTACAAATGTGTCGTCGACGTAGCGTATCCAAATCTTGGGTTTGATCTTTGGTAGAATTATGTTTTCGAGTCTTTGCATCACTGCTTCTGCAATCAAACCTGATATTGGCGATCCCATGGGTGTTCCTTTGACTTGTTCATATATTTGGCCGTTGAATTGGAAGTATGTTGTTAGGCATAGATTTATGCATTCCATCCAGCTTGTGTGTTGCATTTTTGATTGTTGTGGAAGTTGTTCGTCGTTGCTAAGTAATTGCTCCATGGTTTCTTTTGCTAGTTTTTGTCCGATAGAGGTATATAATGCTGTCACGTCGAAGGATACCATTATTTCTTGTTCATCTATTTGGATGTCTCTGATTTTCTCTAGGAATTGGATAGCAGAGTTGATGGAGTGATCACAGGATTCCGTTAGGTGTTTTAGTTTTCTGTATAATTCCTTGGACAAATTATATGTTGGAGTTCCTGGGAGTGATACAATTGGTCGTAACGGGATATTTGCCTTGTGTATTTTGGGTCTGCCGTAGAATCGAGGTAGGACTGGTCCATTGGATTTCATTCGCCATTGGTCTTGTTTTGTGATCTGTCCAGTTTTGCTGAGCTTGTTTAAGGTCCTTTGGATGCGGTTGTCCAATGTTTGTATGGGATTTGTTGGGAGTTGTTGATATACATCTTCATCTTTGAGTAGTTCTTCAGCTTTCTTGGTGTATTCTTCTCTGTCCATGACAGTAGTCATGGATGAAGATGTATATCAACAACTCCCAACAAATCCCATACAAACATTGGACAACCGCATCCAAAGGAGCTTAAACAATCTCAGCAAAACTGGACAGATCACAAAACAAGACCAATGGCGAATGAAATCCAATGGACCAGTCCTACCTCGATTCTACGGCAGACCCAAAATACAC